TGAGTGTGGTGGCTCATTCCTATAATTCTAGGAGGCTAAAGCAGGAGGAACTTGTGTTTCACCCAGCTATGGCCACACAGTAAGACATCACCTCAAAAAAATAAAGAAGCTCCATAATTTAAATAGAACAAAAACTTCTACATGTAGCCCATGAGTGTCAGTAGGACAAAAGAATGTACTTAAAATGAAGAATACTTGAGATTGTCTGGGATTAAGGAAAGTGGCTCGGCATTCCTCTGACTCTATTAAGTAGGTGCCTAACTTCCTTTTTATCTTCTCCCTGTCCCTAGGTAATGTCACCTATTGAGGAAGAGAGAAAAGGAGCAGGCTCTGGCCATGACATAGCCAGTGATGGGGTACGACAGCAACAGACTCTCTTCTTCTTCCAACGTGGATGCCCAAAAACCAGCAGTGAAAGGTAAAGTGAAAAGATAAGCAATAATGGAATATGGTAATTTAACTATGGCCATGCTAGTAATAAAACATCAGGTAATCCTAGAAGAATTGAAATGACTGAAAGTGGGAAGGCCATGGGTAGTCACGAGAGGTTTTCAGTACTGTTTTAACAGCAGGAAGAATAAACACAAGTTGAGTGAAATTCCAGAGCTAGGAGGTGACCTTGAAAGGTCACACAGAACTCTGAGAGCCATGGTTGTTAACAACCTAAAAATAGATGCTTTAGTGCATGACAAAAAGAAAACACAAGAAAAAAAATCCGGAATAAAATGGCCCTAAAGTGAGCCTTAAAAATACTGGATAACCGTCAATATAAAATACAAACACCACCAGAGAATTTATTTTTACTTTATTAACATTGTGGCCTGCAAGTTTTTTTCAAGTAAAAAGGGTTTTTTTTAATCATTTAGAATAAAAATTAAAATATAACTCTGATATAGATTTTCACTTATGTACATGAAAACATATATACATAATACAATCTTACAGCAAACTGACAGCATGCCCTTTGTCCTGCAGATTTCCAAAGTAAAGACACCCATTTTTCTCTTCTATGCACCAAAACATACACAAGATATGCATCAAATTTCAACACAAACTTCTCAAGCCGGAATGTGAAATGGTAAAGGGCTTTCTTTCAACATTCACAACTAGGGGTCCTTTATGCTTTGTAGGGATCATGCTAGCTTCCATTTTGAACAAGTGAGATGATTCTTTTTCCAACTATTTAAAAAATTTGCCTCCAAATTGTCAGCAAACAATTGTTCTAGAACTTTCCTTCCTTTTCAGTGCATCTCTTCTCTTCGGTCCACATGAAGCATTGCTTTGCCTCCATTCTGTGACATGACTCACCATCCTCACTGAGGCTGAATTCCAGCCACTGAAAACAAACCCAGTAAGCCTACAGCTCAGGAAATTGAGTAATTTATCATTTGTTATAGAGGCTTTAAACCAAAACCCAAGGTGGCACCATATGTCAGCAATTACAAGTTTTTAGGTAAATTAAATGGGTCACAAATGGCACAATTTGATTTTAGCCCATCATTTTGGATACCCGTAACCTATCTAATGATAAGAAACCACGAGATTAGATCAGCTTAAAAATTCAGCCACATTAAAGGAAATAATTTTTAGAAAACTTGTGAAAAGAACAGTGAACAAGTAAGAGAATCATTAAATTGTAATAGTTGCCAATAATAGCTTTCCCTGGCTATTTAATTATTGTACCAAAGACACATGGGTGACATGTCTATCTCTCCAAAGACTGCTTCCTTAACATCTACAGGTATCCTCATTTAAAATTTTTCCTTTCAAATAATTGCACATTCGACCACAGCTTTCTGAAGACAGAATAGAGTAACTGGAGCCTAGGTTTACCATTTTAATCCAAAAACAGCAATGCTGTCAAACCGCAACAAGATCTTAAGCACTGCTGTTTTTTTTTTTTTTTTTAGTTCTATGATACAGAAATAAATATAAATGGGTGTTTTACAAAATAAGCATGAAAACCCCTAGTGTTTCCAAAACTAAGGGAGAATGGCTCTTAGAAAGGGGTGTTTGGTATAAGATAGAAGACAAACTCAGCATTTGCCTAGTACAACACTCAAAATTTGATGAGATAAATTAGGTAGCAGATCCATCTTCAAAAGGCTGATCAAAGCAACCTTCCAGAGACGGTAGCAGAAGTCAGAGGTGGCAGTGTTAAGGTTTGGATCATTTTAATTTATTGAGGAACAAGTCAAAGGAAACACATGAAGTGATCTTTCGAATATGATCAAATAAGGTAGAGGAACCTAAAGAGATATATGGCTCAAATACTGTGTGTGACTCAAACTGATCAAAAGAATCTAATTTTAAAAGTGACAGATGACTCTTCGTGCTGCAGATTCTGTAGGGAAGGAGATTGTTGTTGAAAAGCAAAGAACTTTCTGAAATGCCAGTAGTACCCTGCTTTTTTTCAGGTTATTATGTTTTATTTTGTGAACAGGATATTTTTACAACACAGTACAAATGCAGTTGAGAAGACAGGGGCAGAAACAAGCTCCGTTAGTTTAAGGGTGGGACTAAATGGTAGACTCTGGATATTAAAGTTGACGTGACATTTCTTGAGTTATACACACAGGACAGACTGCAAGGCGTCTGTCTGGCCAGTGCCAGGAGGCAATGAGAGGCAGGACGTACACACAAGGCCTAGTGCATAAATCAGAGGACTTTGGCCCCACAGAATGCTCAAATAGAGATAAAAGAATGGTATAATCCAAGGAAGGATGGGGGTGGGAGAAGCATCATTTGGTGGTGTTTAGACCAAGACATTTGTGGCTTATGGGCTGTAGTAGTACTGGAGTATATGTGTAAGATCCATTTTCTTTTGTCATGAGCCACAGGGACACAACACAGCAAAATGCTTCTTGGAAAATGATCCTATTTTTAAGACAGAAGCTGGTGAGAGGTAAGTCTAGAGAGAAATGGAAACTACTTTCTAATTCTGTAACAGAATAGCTGCTCAGGTGAAGAAGTACACCCACAATGGTGAGAATCCCCAAAGAATCCAAGTGCAATAGGACACTGGAAACTCTCAGAAGAGAAAGGGTCTCCTTGGTCCTAAAGTTTTCTTAGCTCTCCTGGAGGGCCAGGGTGATGGCACATAGTCTCCACCAGGGTGGCCCCAAGGCTGGATGCTCCATTGCTCTGGTTCCAGCATTTCCTCCTTGCCACATACACATACAGGTGAAGTTGACCAAATGACTGGTGTCATGCCGACAGAGGCTGAAGTTCAACTGCAAAGCTGAAGGCTACAGACAGTCTTAAACATCTGACTTCATGGGAAGCTTCCTACAGCAATGGTGGCCACAGTCTGTCTGGCTTCCTGATGGGTGGTCCTCTGGCTGTCTGGGTAGACTCTGAAAAGATGTTCTTCCTCTGATGTAACACCTCCTCTTCTCTCAAAGTATGATATTCTGTCACAATGTACCCATGTCCTCATCCTGGTTTCAAACAGAAATAGCTCAGCTTGAAAAGGCCACAGTGAAGGATTATAAAGGAGTCAGTCAGTACAGAGAAAATGCCACAAATCTTAAAATGGATACCCTTTCTCATCGTTGGGCAGAGTTTAACTCCACAGGGCTGAGCATTTAAGGCCAAAAGCAGGTGTCTGAGAAGGCAGGGGTAGGAAACCTAGGAGAGGTCAGACTGTAGCTCAGAAGAGAGACATCTGATAGTAAGCCAAGCACACATGGACATTTCCATCCTTGCAACACCACGCAGAACAAACTCCCCCATACGAGTCCCCAGGCAGATCCATTCGCCCAATGTTTTAAGCTTGACTATAGAGAAATCAGCTGTGGAGGAGACTAAAAAGTTTCAACCACAAAATATTTGTTTTGTACTTGTATCTGTAATCGTTACAGAATAGTAGAAAAGGTTAGCATGAATAATCAAAGTTTTCAAAGTCTAACAGATCATTGCTCTTAAAATGTTGCCTAAGTATGAGCAGGCTAATAAGCCTAGCTGTCTGGAACTGTAGAGACTCCAGGCAAAGAGAAGAGACCAACATCATCATAGTAAAGAATTTAACCAACAAAGCAAAACAAAAACCCACAGAGGTGTGAAGCCTGACCCTCTGTGAGAGGGTCCACATCTGAACAACATGAAGGTCTGGTTACCTTGCATGAGTTTTTAAAAAACATGGAGGTAACCACCACATCAGAATAGTGTAGTCCCTTTGGGTTTGCATGAACACATTGAACCACTCAGGAGAAAACACAGATGAAGTGCTGGGTAGAAAAGGTCAGTCAATTCTCACAGCCACAGATCTGTCTGCAAATGATTTATCAGATTTAACAAAGCTCCCCAAGAAGTTTCATAAGCAACCTCAAGGCCAGAGTGAAATGTAAGAATTGCAGAGGTAAAAGCTGTGACCCCCACATTTCTTTTTCTTGTTTTCTCATTTTGGTCAACTTGGACTCCTCCCTTCTAGTCTAAGAAGGAAGCAAAGGGAAACTGTATGCTTGCCCTGCACTCCAAGACACTTCTTTTACAGAAAATGGGGTCCAGGTTGATGGGAAGTTACCCAAGATCACAGAGTTGGTCCTGAGCAAAGCCAGGATGAGAAGCAACTGGCTCTAGATCCAGTGCTCGCTCTGCTGCACCAAGCCAGGTACTCTGCCTGCTGACACCTGCTGTATGTGTGGTAAGCCAGGGCAGAAGTGAGTGGAAGCGATGCTGAGAGGTGACCCACTGCAATAATGTCAGTGGATGCACCTAATTCTTGAAACACTTCCCCCAAATCTCTTCCCATTCTTCACCTCTAAAATTAAGCTTTCCTTTCTACATGGGGAATTTGACGTCTCCCTAAAGTAGTCACTTCCCTGGTCTGGTTAGGGTGAGATTAAAATGCTGGAAGACATTGTGGTTCAACAGGAGGCCGTGTAGAGAGCTTTCATCCACAGGCATTCCAGGCTTCAATCACACAAAAAGGTTGTCTCTCTGTACTGAACATCAGCCTTCGTTAACTCACCATACTTGCTAAAAAGGCACCTCTGACAGATGATGGAGGTTAAGCACATCTTTTTATAATGATGTCCTGAAACATCACTCACAGCTGTGTTGAAGAAAGGAGCTGTGACCAAGATCAAACTTCAGTGGTAGCACGTGCCACTAAAGCTCAGTCATGTGTGCATATAGCAAAGACGCTCTATAAACGTGCTTGAGAGTGACTAGAGCAAAAACTATCCGCAAGGGATCTCCTGTTCTTTGTGGTTACTTTTGAGAAGCTGTCGACTGTGCCCATATCAGTGTTCAAAGAATGTTGGCCTCAGCTTAGGAAACCTTGTTCCCAGCAAGCTGTATGGTATAGAGTGGGATAAAGATGAAATGTAGATATACAAAGGAGCTCTTCCATACGCAGCAGGGTCTAACACAGAACCATACACTCCCCGGAAGCTACTGCTATGGTACTTCAGTGTGCTTTAAAAACATGGTGAGATCAGATAGGCTGTTGAATGAAGGAGGTCCTGGGGTTCTGGTTTTTTGGTGACACTGAGTGAATGTACCTTTTCACATATCCCAGAAAAATCTAAGTCTCTGTCCTGAAAACCTTCACAAATCCAGCATCACCAAGATTACAGGCCACCTTCGAAGAGGACAGGATCAGTTAGCATACTGCGTGTAGAAAGCCACTTTAACTCTCTCGATCTGGTGACATAACTTGATAGCAGGTCCCAGCTTCAGCTCCATGCACTCCTGCACTGTTGGGAGAGTCAGCAGTAGGAGTGCCTGGCCATCAATGTCCTGCCAGAAAATAAAGGTGGATTAGAGCAGGGGCAGTATACACTTCGGGACGCATTTCTTCAGGCTTTGTCCTGGAGCCAAGTATGTGAACAGTCTTCTTTAATTTCATGTAATCTGAGAGAGTACTGGCAGAGATACCAGCTTGGTTTGATGACTGTCTAATCTTTGTATTAATAAAATAATTTTTGCTAAGAACATTTTGGCTTCTCTAAAATTCACATGCCTACCTTTGTGGGTACAAAATTCTGCAACAGGTGGGCTGCTCCAGTAATTGGAACCTCCCTCACCAGGCCAGGTCCTTTCTATGCTAATTTGAGCACTAGAAAAGGGCTGTCTACTAAAATAGTAAAAGCTCTCTTACTTCTCTCCAAGATCTGACATTTCACCACCAGGATGCGTGAAAAGATACTAAAGACAGATATGTCAACTACCAGCATGGTTTTCCCTAGAGGAAAACACATGCACAGATGGATGTGGATGCATGCACAAAACAAGCACACACATCACATCCTACTATGTGTGCACACCCACTTGGGCCACGTCGAATTTCCCCACTGCCACACAGCCATAGAGATGGCATGTATCATGCCCAGATCATCGTTTACAGACTGGAACCAAAGCCAGTGTAGTATACCAATATAGTACCCTATGAGACATCTTTAGTAGAAAGTCTTTCAATGCAAAAAGCTATCCTGCAAAATTGGTAGAGCAAATGGATCCACCAGCTGCACCAATGTCAATATAGGGGCGACACAAGTATGCAAAAACAAGGTAACAGGCTACCTCCAAATCAACCCAAGAGCTCTAGCAATAGAGCCCAAAGAAAAGGAAATCGATGAAATGCCTGAAAAAGAATTCAAAAGAATGGTTTTAAGGAAACTCAGTAAGACACAAGAGAATACAGATAGACAATACAGTGAAATTAGGAAAGCAATTCATAATTTATATTTCAACAAAATGATGGAGATCATGAAAAAGAACCAAACCAAAATCTTAGAGCTGAAGAACGCAGTAACTGAAAGAATTACAGTTGAGAGCCTCCATAACAGACTAGATCAAATGGAGGGAATAACTTCTGAACTCAAAGACAAATCTTTTGAAATAATTGAGAATTGGGAGTGGGGTGGGGTGGGCAGAGAGAGAGAAAGAGAGAAAGAACCAGAAACCTATAAAAATAACATTAAATGAACAGATTTAGGTTTTCTAGATGAGAGGAAAAGCATGTAGAAAATCTATTTAATGAAATAATATGTAAACTTGCCAAATCTGAGGAAAAATAAGGACATTTAGGTTCAGGAGGCTCAAAAGACAGCAAAATGGCATGAAACAGTCAAACCATCAAAAGTCTGAATCAAAAAATTCTAAAGACAGCAAGAGAAAAGTGCAAAGTCACATGAAGGGAACCCTTGCTAGACTAATAGCGGATTTCTCAGCGGAAATCTTACAGGTCAAGCGGGAAGAGGTGACACATTTAAAATTCTAAAAGGAAAAAAAAAAAACTGCCAACACAAACACTATCACAGCAAAGCTATCTTTAGAAATGAAGGAGAAACATCACAGATCTGTTTCCTCATTCTGTTCTACTTCACCCTTCTATAACTACACACAGGGTCCTCTGTCATGAAGATACTCGCTAAAGGACTGTTAAATTGAAGAAGGGCACGACACCTCACTCCAAAGCCCTAGATAATTTCACTAGACATCTTTGTTCACCTGCTTGTTTCCTATAATAATCTGATTTGTTCACAGAGATGTCACCTGATTCGGTTATTGAGCATAACTACAAATACTCTTCCTATTTCCCATTTCCTCCAGAGGAAACAACTGACGGTCACAGAGACTGCAGCCCCAAAGTAAAAGATAAAAATTAATGGTGGTAAGCTAAACTCAGCTTCCCAGAATTTCTGCCACTTGGAGAAGCCTTACACTCACAGCTCCCATAAGCCACATGGATTCAACAGTCATTTGACATTGTACAGGCCTGCATTTCAGACATTGACTAGGAACTAGCTGTACACAGGGTGCTTACTTTCTTAAACCATAGTTTATTTGGCTGTTTTGAAAATGTCTAGAGCATAAAACCAAAGTGTCTATAAATGATGGTCTTGAGAAGACTAGTATCAAGAGTAAACTTAATTTATCATCTGATCAGGTTCAAAGGACTAATATTAAGAGAGCAAGAATAATTTATCACACCATCATCCCCCAGGCTACAATAGTCCCTATTAAGTATGGCAGCAATAAAAATTAAGCTTTACCTTAAAAAGTATCAGTGCAAGTGCAATTTATTATTTTTAAATTATGGATGAGCACTAGCTATGATATATGGAGCCATAAGTCATGTCTCAACAAAGACTCATTAAGTGACCTTATCAAACTCCAAATCAACAGATCAGTCTTGTATTCATCTTGAAAGATAAATGAATAAAACTGTCAACATATTTTTATGCTATATCTAGAGCTTTTTTTCCTGTACTTCTCCGACATGTTATTTTACTTTTCAGAGGCTCCTGCCAAGGCTGACTATTGTAAGGGGGAACTGGAAGTACTAAGAAATAGCCGTTTGGCTGAAGGTCATGAAGCAAACACGGGAAGACCTTTGGCCTGGGACCTGTTAGCTGACTTCATGGATAGAGCCAAATATGCATATATTATACCCAAGTGGACAGATAGTCTTAGGCCTAAGGATGCAAGGGCTCCAAAGCATATGGAGCTTTTTCATATCGTGAAAATTTACCTCGAGGCAGTTAGCTGGCATGATAAAACTGTGACACAGGTGGCTCTATTATTATGGTCAATGAAATCAGCAGAACAAGACAGACTAAAACGGACTTACTCTTAGGAGAGGGATGTTTATTTTTGACATGGAAATTCAGGCCCAGAAAAGCTAGCTGTACCACACAGATAGGCAGAAACAGCACTGGAACTAGAATTATGGCTTTGTGATACTCATCTCTGAGGGGGGTATTATAGGTCAGTTCTAAACAATGACACTTGGTCACGATGGTCACACTTGGACATTTATACTCAATTAGATTTGAAAATCAGACCTGCAATATATATGTATAACTCTTTCTCTACAATTTCAGTGAAGGTGGCTGGCATAAGCATGTACTTCACTGAACTACACTCTCTGGAGACCCTCCTACGGAACCCAGCAAAAACTCCCCCCAGGAGACTCCAGACATCTGAAATGAAGCAGGCAAGTAGGCAGGCTACTATGATATATAGAGAGATTAATGTATAGACACTGAGCCAAGGGTTAAAATAGGATAGGTACCCAAAGCAGCCTTACAGAGGTGTCAAGAATGACTTCAGAGATTAAATGATGCTTGGTTTGAGACGAGTAGGACCAGTGGAATTATCAAGATGGACTGACAGAAGACAAGTAGCTCACTGGACCATGGAATTTCAGGGAAGTAGGGAGACAGTAAAGGTGAAATTGTGACAGCCAGACAGCCACTAAGGAACTTGGAACTTATTCTGAGGTACATAAAAGAAAACAATCTCTCTTTGGTGACTTTTAACAGTTAAGTGACATATCAGATTTGACTGAATTAGGAGAAGGGAGGGAAAGGTATGAGAGATTGAAAGGAGTGAGATTTATTAGGTGGTCATGAAACTGAGCCTTGCTGGGAGACATTCCTGGCCCAGACTGGAGCAACACTGGAGGCTCTGACAAAAGGTCACCACGAATTGAACGGATGAACTACACACTGGGAGAAACAAGTTCCCCTCACATATTCACACAGAACTGACCAAAGGTGATAGCAGTATTTGCATGGACAAAGAACTCCTATAAACCAATAGAAAAAAGACAAAACTATAGAAATGTAGGCAAAAGGCATGGGTAGCTATTTCACAGATGAAACAAAAATGGTAAAAACTTAGGAAAAGATACTCAACCTCATCAGGAATCAAGGAAATGCAAATTGAGTCCACAACAAAATATAACTTTATACATACCCACATAAATTACAAAGTCTGACAATACCAGGTATTGACACAAAAGTATACATAAGAGAAATCCCTTCCCTACTGGTGGAAATGTAGTTGGTTCACTGTTACAGAAAAACACTTTTGTACTACCTAGCAAAGGTACAGGAGAGGAAAATCAAACAAAAGCATAATAAACACAAACTTAGTATAGCATTTACCTCTGGTGAGCATCAAGCAGATGAGATAGAGATGATGAATCCCTAGGCTAGATCCAACGGGGTGGCCAGAGTCCAGCTTCCCCACATCTGCATTGTATTAGTATGCTCCATGTGCACACATGTCACATACATTCTTTGCTTTTCCCAGTGAAAACATTTTAGTGCCTCTATATCTTAGAAGATGTAATTTGGCATTTCTTCCTGGTTTTCTTTCTGAAATGCTTTTAGTTTTCTCCATTTTTCTAACACACCTCAACTGAGGAATTAAATCTTAGTTTTCGAGGAAGGACTAACAAGCCTTGTTGACAGTTGATTTCATTTATTTGCAAAATATTAATTAAATATTGACATATGGCAGAGACTGAAGTAGATTAAAAAAAGATACAGGGTCCCTTCCCTGCTGGGGAAGAAACTTATTGTTCAGGTAACCAGGGAAGAGCAGCACCTTAGCAGAACTAAGGTTACAAAAACTGGGGAACACTGAATGCTGGGCACATCCCTGTCCCCTGGAGAGCCAGGAAAGTCCTCGCAGAGGACATACACTGTAACTGCCTTCTAAGAAGGTGTTGATGTGGGGAAGGGATTATTGCTGGGTCGTTTGTTTCCCTGGTTCCATCCTCCACACCTAGAAAGAAGCCTACTTGGCACATAAGAGGGGATCCTGTATTTGCTGAATGAACGAATGGGGGAAATTGGCTTTGGTACACTTAAGTGAACAGATGGGTAGTGGGGCGATTTGGAAAGTGGGTAGGAGAGGAGAAGAGGGTATTCCTGGACACTGCACACACTTGTGATGGGCTCCTGCAAGGGAGGCTTTGCTAGCCATAGCTGGAACACAGCACT